CAGTCAGGGAAGCGGTCGGTGTAGCGGTCATGGTCAGGGACGCAGTCAGGGAAGCGGTCGGTGTAGCGGTCATGGTCAGGGACGCAGTCAGGGAAGCGGTCGGTGTAGCGGTCATGGTCAGGGACGCAGTCAGGGAAGCGGTCGGTGTAGCGGTCATGGTCAGGGACGCAGTCAGGGAAGCGGTCGGTGTAGCGGTCATGGTCAGGGACGCAGTCAGGGAAGCGGTCGGTGTAGCGGTCATGGTCAGGGACGCAGTCAGGGAAGCGGTCGGTGTAGCGGTCATGGTCAGGGACGCAGTCAGGGAAGCGGTCGGTGTAGCGGTCATGGTCAGGGACGCAGTCAGGGAAGCGGTCGGTGTAGCGGTCATGGTCAGGGACGCAGTCAGGGAAGCGGTCGGTGTAGCGGTCATGGTCAGGGACGCAGTCAGGGAAGCGGTCGGTGTAGCGGTCATGGTCAGGGACGCAGTCAGGGAAGCGGTCGGTGTAGCGGTCATGGTCAGGGACGCAGTCAGGGAAGCGGTCGGTGTAGCGGTCATGGTCAGGGACGCAGTCAGGGAAGCGGTCGGTGTAGCGGTCATGGTCAGGGACGCAGTCAGGGAAGCGGTCGGTGTAGCGGTCATGGTCAGGGACGCAGTCAGGGAAGCGGTCGGTGTAGCGGTCATGGTCAGGGACGCAGTCAGGGAAGCGGTCGGTGTAGCGGTCATGGTCAGGGACGCAGTCAGGGAAGCGGTCGGTGTAGCGGTCATGGTCAGGGACGCAGTCAGGGAAGCGGTCGGTGTAGCGGTCATGGTCAGGGACGCAGTCAGGGAAGCGGTCGGTGTAGCGGTCATGGTCAGGGACGCAGTCAGGGAAGCGGTCGGTGTAGCGGTCATGGTCAGGGACGCAGTCAGGGAAGCGGTCGGTGTAGCGGTCATGGTCAGGGACGCAGTCAGGGAAGCGGTCGGTGTAGCGGTCATGGTCAGGGACGCAGTCAGGGAAGCGGTCGGTGTAGCGGTCATGGTCAGGGACGCAGTCAGGGAAGCGGTCGGTGTAGCGGTCATGGTCAGGGACGCAGTCAGGGAAGCGGTCGGTGTAGCGGTCATGGTCAGGGACGCAGTCAGGGAAGCGGTCGGTGTAGCGGTCATGGTCAGGGACGCAGTCAGGGAAGCGGTCGGTGTAGCGGTCATGGTCAGGGACGCAGTCAGGGAAGCGGTCGGTGTAGCGGTCATGGTCAGGGACGCAGTCAGGGAAGCGGTCGGTGTAGCGGTCATGGTCAGGGACGCAGTCAGGGAAGCGGTCGGTGTAGCGGTCATGGTCAGGGACGCAGTCAGGGAAGCGGTCGGTGTAGCGGTCATGGTCAGGGACGCAGTCAGGGAAGCGGTCGGTGTAGCGGTCATGGTCAGGGACGCAGTCAGGGAAGCGGTCGGTGTAGCGGTCATGGTCAGGGACGCAGTCAGGGAAGCGGTCGGTGTAGCGGTCATGGTCAGGGACGCAGTCAGGGAAGCGGTCGGTGTAGCGGTCATGGTCAGGGACGCAGTCAGGGAAGCGGTCGGTGTAGCGGTCATGGTCAGGGACGCAGTCAGGGAAGCGGTCGGTGTAGCGGTCATGGTCAGGGACGCAGTCAGGGAAGCGGTCGGTGTAGCGGTCATGGTCAGGGACGCAGTCAGGGAAGCGGTCGGTGTAGCGGTCATGGTCAGGGACGCAGTCAGGGAAGCGGTCGGTGTAGCGGTCATGGTCAGGGACGCAGTCAGGGAAGCGGTCGGTGTAGCGGTCATGGTCAGGGACGCAGTCAGGGAAGCGGTCGGTGTAGCGGTCATGGTCAGGGACGCAGTCAGGGAAGCGGTCGGTGTAGCGGTCATGGTCAGGGACGCAGTCAGGGAAGCGGTCGGTGTAGCGGTCATGGTCAGGGACGCAGTCAGGGAAGCGGTCGGTGTAGCGGTCATGGTCAGGGACGCAGTCAGGGAAGCGGTCGGTGTAGCGGTCATGGTCAGGGACGCAGTCAGGGAAGCGGTCGGTGTAGCGGTCATGGTCAGGGACGCAGTCAGGGAAGCGGTCGGTGTAGCGGTCATGGTCAGGGACGCAGTCAGGGAAGCGGTCGGTGTAGCGGTCATGGTCAGGGACGCAGTCAGGGAAGCGGTCGGTGTAGCGGTCATGGTCAGGGACGCAGTCAGGGAAGCGGTCGGTGTAGCGGTCATGGTCAGGGACGCAGTCAGGGAAGCGGTCGGTGTAGCGGTCATGGTCAGGGACGCAGTCAGGGAAGCGGTCGGTGTAGCGGTCATGGTCAGGGACGCAGTCAGGGAAGCGGTCGGTGTAGCGGTCATGGTCAGGGACGCAGTCAGGGAAGCGGTCGGTGTAGCGGTCATGGTCAGGGACGCAGTCAGGGAAGCGGTCGGTGTAGCGGTCATGGTCAGGGACGCAGTCAGGGAAGCGGTCGGTGTAGCGGTCATGGTCAGGGACGCAGTCAGGGAAGCGGTCGGTGTAGCGGTCATGGTCAGGGACGCAGTCAGGGAAGCGGTCGGTGTAGCGGTCATGGTCAGGGACGCAGTCAGGGAAGCGGTCGGTGTAGCGGTCATGGTCAGGGACGCAGTCAGGGAAGCGGTCGGTGTAGCGGTCATGGTCAGGGACGCAGTCAGGGAAGCGGTCGGTGTAGCGGTCATGGTCAGGGACGCAGTCAGGGAAGCGGTCGGTGTAGCGGTCATGGTCAGGGACGCAGTCAGGGAAGCGGTCGGTGTAGCGGTCATGGTCAGGGACGCAGTCAGGGAAGCGGTCGGTGTAGCGGTCATGGTCAGGGACGCAGTCAGGGAAGCGGTCGGTGTAGCGGTCATGGTCAGGGACGCAGTCAGGGAAGCGGTCGGTGTAGCGGTCATGGTCAGGGACGCAGTCAGGGAAGCGGTCATGATCAGAGAAGCGGTCAGGGTCAGGGAAGCGGTCATGGTCAGGGACGCAGTCAGGGAAGCGGTCAGTGAAGCGGTCATGGTCAGGGAAGCGGCCACGATCAGGGAAGCGGTCATGATCAGGGAAGAGGTCAGGGAAGCGATCATGATCAGGGAAGCGGTCAGGGTCAGGGAAGTGGCCAGGGTCAGGGAAGTGGTCATGGTCAGGGAAGTGGTCATGGTCAGGGAAGCGGTCATGATCAGAGAAGCGGTCAGGGTCAGGGAAGCGGCCATGGTCAGGGATGTGGCCAAGGTCAGGGATGTGGTCAAGGAAATGGTCGGCGATGTGGTCAGGGATGTGGTCAAGTGAATTGTCAGGGATGTGGTCATTGAAATGGTCATGGGAATTTTACATAACACTTACTGGAGATCTTTTCAATTCAGTGCTTTATTCATATGGCATATGTTCCCTGTTTGCTCAAACAGTTTAGAAAGATTCTGTCTCTACCCCCACCTCCACCTCCTCAAATAAAAAGATTTGCTTGATTTGAATTGTTGGTGTTTTTTGGTATCCTTTGGCTGTTTTCTCGCATAACTGCTTTCTAGCATCAGTGCTTTACGTTCCTTTCCCTGAGACCTGGATGTTTAGCAAAGTATTAGCCCATTTTTACACAAAATATACCACATTATACCATGGGGACTCAAATGGCACCAAATGCTAGGAACAACCTTAAAATCTTTTTTTTATTATAATAAACCTATAAATGCCGAGGTCCGAATCTCGCAGATCTCATGCTGGGAACGGCAGTGTGTTTAACTTCATGCGGAGCAGCACAGACCGATCGGCGAAAGTTGCAGCTTGCTGTCGGGGCAGAATTGACCTATCGGTAAGCCCCTCCCCTCGGATGCAGATGAGACAATGGCCGTTAACTATCAGCTGCACAGGAACCGGAAATCGGACATCTTTATGGCTGCATCCGAAAGCTCTAAAATGCTGCCTTTGGAGGCAGTATTCCAAGGCAGGAAGGCATCAAGGCACGTCCGAATCCAAATTCTGCTTTACTTCCTGTCTGTGGAGGTAGCTTCTTCTGATCAAATTTTAAAGGCAGCATAAATGTATCCTTCACTGCCTTTGATATCCTACAATCCTGTGCGTTCCATTCCGTGATGGTTGAGCTAAAAAATAAAGACGCATCTGAAAGTTGCGTTTGGTGGTCAGTTTGTATGTAAATGTATATTTCTGAATAACTCTTTGCACTTTTGATGTTATTTTGTAGCGAGAAATCAGTAATTAAATGTTCTTTTAGCTATTACCAAAACTCGTTCTATTTTGTTGCAGCTCATTAAACAGTTACGCTGCCTCAGAATTCAATCCGAAATTATAGGCTTAGATCTCTGCCACAATTCTGCATGTGAAAGATCATATTTTGAGCGCACAAAAGCGAGTTTTGTGGAGAAAATGTTCGTTTCACAAAGGAAAATATTGAGGCACAAATCAATTTTGCATTTAAAATAAGTTTTTGGATGTGTGCAGACCTTCTCTTTTGCCCGTGCAATGTTTCACTAGCTTGGTCCCTTGATGCCCACCCTCAGTGCTCTCTAAAAGCCAACAGCTCACTTGCTCAACACAACCCAGCGTTACAATATGCCATAATTCCAGCCAATCAGAGACGAGGCTGCTAAATTCTGATTGGCTGCCTTGACAACCATTCACAACATTTCTTGCATTACCACGACAGCAGAAGAGGAAAAATACAGTGCATGCATAATTATTATGCAAGATGATCTTAATTCCTAATTCTTTTGCCGTTAACATGCATCTTTTCTTCTCCACATGTTTTTGACTGACCCTGCTGACCACTGAGCATTTTGCTGTCCAATGGTTATGCATTAACTTTGCAATTTCTAGTATTGTATTAGTTTTGAGTATTTCTCATGGGCATTTAATAATTTTTGACTTTCAGTCTGAGTTAAATATCTTTTTTGGCTAATTTTATCTGTAAAAGAACATCTGCTTAATTATGCACACCTGAATATAAGACATTTTTCACTTCCAGCCTTCATGAATAATTATATATCAATTATAAATGATTGTATTATTACAAATTATAAATGTATTATTACTTTGTTACATTACACCACTGTTGCTGTTACGTTGGGAATCTCAAAGAGAAGGTAAAGCACAAGAAATGTTAGAAATCATTCATCTGAACACTGCTCATGGCCTAATAGAGCCTGTATGTGTGGGAGAGAAAATCATGAGATTAAATGCTAATTTTACTCACACTTCACTACTGGTAAATATTTACATCTGGCAGATGAATTAGAAAAAGTAAAAATGTTTACTTTGGGACCAAGCTATAAACTGTGTAGGGCTGTCAAACTAATAATCGTGATTAATCATGTCCATAATAAATGTTTGTGTTTACATATATAAATACACACACTTAAATAAATTTCAATTATTCATTTATTTTGGACGTGATTAATCATGATTATTCGTTTGACAGCCCTACAACTATGTTGTAGTCATGAAGTAAGATTAAAAAAAAAATAAAAAATTAATGAAATTACTATTCATTCATAAAAAAAGTACTTATTAGCATCATTAAAGTGATGACAGTACAATTATCTTTATAATTAAATATATCTAAAAATATCGAAATAATATCAAAAAATTAAACAACAACA